TCAGCCGGCGGAGTAGGAGGATGCGAGCTCAACGGAGATAAACATAGAACATGGCATGCAGCGGCACTTGCAGCAGCAGCGACCGACAGAGGATCAGGATCAGTGGGGCGAGTTTATAGATGAGTCTACGCCGAAGGACCGTGCACTGGAAATGCTGCCGCGTCCACTGGAAATCGGCCCACCCGTGTTTGTTCTGTGCTTGCGAAAGCGGCTGGGCGAATCGGACGAAAAAGCCAGGTTACAGATCGAAGTGCGTGTGCCGAGTGAGTTTCGGAACCGCAGAAATGGTGACATGATTGAGGAGGAACAAAACGACAGTGAAACTGAAGGGAATAAGAATTGACTTGGTAAATCCAAGGCAGTAAACTTATTGAAGCGTTACAACTAATGTAACGGTTTTACCACAATACATGGTACCTAATAGAATATCTATATCATAAGTAAGTCCTATACAGTAGTATGAATTGAATTTTTAATGAGTGTTACTATACAGAATATAATATAATAAAATGTCGAAGAATCGTGGAAAAATTAAAATTTTTAATTTCGTTTCATCATTTTCAGCATACAAATCTAACCTGCAAGTTTCCTGTAATATGCGAAAGCTGGCGTTCTCGAAGCCTTGTCACGTTTCTATTGAAGCTGCCACCTTCACACTTCTTAGAATAAGTTCTTTAATCAGTTCCACAGTCACCAAGTTCCTCCAGTCACCATTTCCCGGTCCGATGCACTCGACACGCCTCTCCGATCTGCAGTCAAAAGCTTTTTAGTCCGAACCGCCCAGCTGACCACCCACAGAACGAACACGGGTCAGTTTCCAGGACGCGGCCACCGTTTTCGGTGGTCCTTCGGCAAAGATCGATCTTTAGACACGTTTGTATAGCTGATCCTGATCCTGGTCCTGTGGCTGCTGCCGCTGCGTGCCATAATCGAAGTCGAGCACCAACATCCTCTTGCTCCTCCGAGAGTGCTGCCGGCTGAATCTCAGTCGGTCGTGAGCTGTAGTGCACTGTGTCGTATTATCGTGGCCCGACGAGAACCACCCTGCACGCTCGGTCACCGCAGACTTCCTGGTCTGACAGTCTCCGCAAATCCTCTATTTTTGTCCTTGGTACAATGAGTGTCTGAGACCATGGAAATTCACTGATTTGAGCGCACCAGCGTGTCTCCCCTCAAATATTTGTCCGGTTTCTTCTAGACGATTGTGGAAGAAAGTAGAAACGCTAGGTTAACCTAACGCTAACCTAACCTAACCTAACCTAACCTAACCTAACCTAACGCTAGAAGCTAAAACATAAGAATGAAAATAAAGAAAATTGTATGATATTTATAATATTATTTTTTATTCTGTTCTAAAGTGTAATAATATACGATTACAATGTTAATAAAAAAAACTATACTATAATATTGTTTATATTATTATTATTTTTTTATTCATAATTTATAATATTAATGCATGCAATCCAGCATATTCAGATGAGTTATAACCGTATTACATTAAACCGGATTTCGTAACAAACAACATACATCTATACATCTATAAATTTTTGAGAACATTTTGATTTATTAATTTTTTTTAATAGCAAAACACCACATAGTGCTCACAGATTTGGTACTCTTAATAACTATGTAGAATTGATTGTGTTATTTTAATACTACCCAATAATTATATCCTTTCAATTTATATATTCTACAACATCAAATCAGTTACATTTAGTTTGTAGCATCGTTAAGGTATAACAAGTAACAACAATAGGTATGTTGGCGGAAAAAAATTCAAGAATAAATAAATTTCAATTATTATAACAATAGAGAAGGGTTTTGAAAGTGACGTTTCTATTTCATAGATTTTAAAGCAGAGAGATTGAATTTTGACCGTCCAAACCGTGTACATATTTGCATGTGAACGATGAACTGTTTGTTGGCACAAAAAAAAAACTGACTTTGTTGAATTTATTTTCATATCGGTCGTATATTGGCACTTGTAGATCGCCATTTGACATAAATTTTAATTTATATTGAATTTTGCGGTTTAAGTATTTCCAAGACAACTTCAAATCTTATACATTTAGTTTGTAGCATCGTTAAACTATATGTTGGCAGAAAAAAATTCAATAATAAATAAATTTTAACTTTTATACCGATAGGAAGGGTTTTGAAAGTGTCGTTTCTGTTTCAATGAGATTAAAGTAGAAATATTGAATTTTGAACACAAACACGATGTTTATATTTTCATGTGAACGACGAACTATTCGTTAACACAAAAAAACCTCGAATTTGTTCACTTTTTTTCATATAGGTCCTATATTGACACTTGTAGAGTACTATTTGAACATAAATGTGATGTTTCTCTTTCGTCGATTTTAATTCAAAAAGATTGTATTGGGACCAGCCAAACTGCGTTTACATTTTCATGCGAACGACGCGAACTGTTGTGTGATAAAAAAAAATTCGTGAAATTTTTCATTTCATTGTTTTGAATTAAATTCGAATCATTGTATTTTAAATTTTTAACCTTCTATACTTGGTTTATCTTCTCATGCAGTTGGTGATCTAGCTGCGTGCCTGCTGCGTGCCGTTTCTTTTGGATGAATGTTAGTACAAATGTATGGAAATGAACTTATGAGGATTTATATATTCAACTGTACGGTCTTCCGATAGAGCTGACGTCATCACTCATCGTTCGGGTGACTATCACTTTGCATACGACAACGGCACTACCTCGATTCGGTTTTCAGTTTTTCACGGTTGAAGGCTTGTGGTGGATCTGTGTGTACGAGTATGCCTACTTTAATGAAGCAAAACAAGAATACCTTTCCACATTGTGGAGTGATAGAATTTTATCCTAACATACTGTTATCTGTTTTGTCTTCATATTTTATTTTCAGATTTGAAATATTTGGGTGACTGTGATTTGTCTGAAATTACATCTCGCCGTACCATAACTATTGGCCGCATTACGTGGCCGCGGTGGCGTGTAGCAAACATAAAAATGATTTCAAACGATGTGGTGCCGTTGCTCATGGTGTTAATGGGTGGTACGAAATCATTGAAATAAACGTGTGAGAATCGGTAACCCGTACGTGCTTCCGATAGAACAAGCGTTGTTGTTCGCGGCCTCCACATCATTGCTGTTTTCCGGATCTTCTCCGATCTGTGCGACTCATCCGGACCACTTAAGCGTTTGCTTGATGTGACATCGACGTATCACACTCATCGTTTTAATTCGAGCATAGTCTAAAATATTAAACTTTAATAAAGCATCAACGATCAAAACAGTATAAGCGTGTTTTTTTTATATTAATCGTGATCGAACGATTTGTCGTTTGTTTTTACTGCGCTCAAAGACAGTGCAGCTGCACACAATGTCTGTTTGATGACAAATCTAATTCAAATTTAAAAAAATAATTATCAAAGAATAATATTGAACTGAATACTATTAACATTTTATAGAAACGTATCCATGTTGGATTACAGTTAGGAGTTTTCCACAACTGCAGGATAGCATTTTTTACCACTTTAATCCTTCGTCCTTTGTATTTTATTCTCTCTATTAATTAATCTTGATTTATTTACTCAGGACACTACTGAATACTGAGTGCCGATCTAATACGTGTGCGTTATGCATAATATGATATAACCAGAATGCCCGCATCACGTGTATAGTGTTACGATGTTTGACATTTTGGTGATAACTATTTTCCCCCCCCCCCTTTTTTTCTTGTTTGGTCATTTAGTAACACTTTTTAACAGGTATTATTATTTTACATATAGTATGTGTAAAATAATTACTTATTACACATAATATTATATTGGTGTGTCGTCAAATATTTTTAATGCATGAACTAAAAATACATAATTAATAATTATATATAATTTGATCAATAATATTATACACTACAAAATATAATATAATAATGTATACAAAATATAAAAAATGGTTGAATAACTACAATTTTAATTCATAAAACAATGTCAACTTTACGTGGCATTCTGCAGGAAAATGTATTAATTATTTCTTCAATATCTATTTGTATACCTCGGTGGACTGACAATAAAACTAAACCTGTTAGACGATTTTCA